CATGGGAAAACAAGACTCAGCTGAGGAAAAGTTTTGGACGTGTAACAGAAGGTTCCACAAAGTGAAAGAAAGAGCATCTTAAAAAGGATTGCAACCAAAAAAAGTGTTATAACAGAAAAACATGTTATACCAGTTCAGAAGCTCAAATAATCATCCAAATAAAAAAAAAAAAAGTGTCTCAGAAATTCTCCTACATTAAAGGCAGACCTTAACCATTCAAATTCAATCATCAAAACAGGGAACACATAACAGGAGATACTAGCTTACTGATGTTATTTTAGATGTTTGAAGAGAAAACACAAGTAAAATGAACGCATACTTCTTGTAATGAGGAGCATCTCTATCCAAGCGAGCAAGAGTACCAGCTAAAATGGACACCTGCAGTTCACCCGCAGGGCGGGGTGGGGGGGGGGGAGGAAATAGAACACACTCAGTTATACACCTGTAAGAAAAGTAAGGGGTAATAGAAAGAGAAATAGGATAGACATGGATTTTTCAAGCCAGAAACGATTTTTTCATATTACATGAACAGATAGCAGAAAGACAGTCAATATGATAGGAAACCATAATAGCAAGTTTGTGTTGAGTTCCACAATTGACGGTTTACACTAAAAAATCAACTGAAATTGCTAATGCACTAATATCTAAGCCATCAGCCTTGATGTTTCTAAATCATAGGTCTTGTTAATCAACGTGGCAAACTAGCAGTTCATCTACCAATAGTAGCAGGAAGATGCATTTGCAGAGAATTAGCAGGGAGTGAATACTATTTATTGATGCTTTAATACACCATCTCTGAAAAAGAAGGACCGTGTCTTTTTGTTTTTCTTTTAATTTCCCTTGACCAGCTGCAAAATGCTGCAGACATGGGAAATCAAACTTTTTCTGACTTAAATATAACATAGATGAGGACAATCAGTGTTCCTTCTTCAAGACATGCTTGAGTGTTGTTGAGTACCCTAAAAAGACAAAGTGTTCATGGCAACCTAGCTCTTCAAAATCACAAGGAAAAGAATCTATGTTGCCAAATTTTCATGCTTAATATTATAGCGTGATGCAGTGATAGTCCTCATAAGTATAAGTTTAAACATTGGTGGAGAAGTAATTCGTACATCAGTTTTACTCGTCAGAGTGACATGATTAAATAGTGCCACTTACATGTTACTTTGATACTTAAGCTGGACTAGATTCATACTCATCCTCCTATTCTAGAAATGGCATACACTTAGAAAACTTATGGAAACTTGGCTAGGAAAATAAATAAGCAAACAAATATTAATATCTATTTTCAGGTCCAATTTTGTCAGTCTTGGAGTACTATAAATCCAATCAGTACATAGAAAGAGCGGAGTACAAAACTCATTAACCAACCTTTTCTCCACTATCATTCCCAACAACCCTTATCTCCAGTCCAACACAAGCAGCTTCCGGTGCAAGAGGGATCTCCTCATAGCTCAGAAATTGAATTGCCCCAGGGTCATATTGAAAGAAGCCAAAGTCATGTACCTAAAGATGATGGATCAATGTCAATACAAGCCATTAAGGGATGTAAGTCAATAAATTTCAGGCAGTCATAGCAGCCGCGAGATGAGATTTTATAATAAATGAACTTTCAAAAATACTTTGCATCAAGCATATTAAATTTTAGCGGCAAAATAGGATCAGGAAAATCATGTCCTTGGATAAATAAAGCATACAATATATAGCACAACCAAAAGTAAAGACGATCAAAATAGTATACAAAAAAGCTGATAAAGACGATGCAACCATAACTAAATAAGGCACAGGCAAGCAAATATAGCAGATAGTATGAACTATAGCATTTAGCGATATCCCAAAGCACCCGTTGAACAATAAAAGGCTGGCACAAGTCATTAACAACTCACCGGGTCCCTGTATATGGGATGAACAGGTATCTCTTCACGATTCACAAACATTGCTTCTGCTACCACAGGCCCTACAAACAATAGCACAGTTCTTCTAAATTTGTTTAACTTTATTAAGTTCACTGAATAAATAAATAAATAACTTCAGGCTGCCGAAAGAAAGCTTAGCATTACCTGGTTTAACAACATGTCGATTGGTGAGTATAATGCCGCGGCGTTTATCAACAATGAAGCCGGTTGCATAGCTGGCGCCAGCGGACTCAGTATCAAATGCTCGACAAGCATTAGTACGAAGCACGACTACGGCCGGAACCACCTTATTAAGCGCCTTACGCCAGTCCTCTGCAGTGGCGAGGTTCTCTTTAAACGGCGGATCGATCTCCATACACAGCTCCTCCTTCATCAAACTTGCCGCTTCCTCCGATCCCAATCTCTCCATTGAATCCCCCATTATTCCCCAAGAATAAAAACCCTAACTTCTCTCAACGCTGCATACAGGTCTGGACAAATTAATTCTAACTACTAATTCAACCAAATTATCCTGGTACAATAAATTACACGCATAAGTTATCACCCAATAAGTGCGTATTCCAACCAATAATGGAGTCCGGCGAATGAAGAAAGAATAATCAGCCGATCACCGGCGGGGAGAGGGGAGGCTGAAGCGAGAGTTGGCTGATCGGAGCTGACTTGAGTGACGACAGGATTATTCAGTAATGACTGGGGAGAGAAATAAATAACTCATCGGTTTGATTGATTGATTACTGTCCTTTTATGGGGGCTTTTATAGAGGTAGGCACGTCGAATGACTGAAAAGTCCCTGGACAAGATTTTGTTAATTTTGCTTTTTTTTCTTTCTTGGGTATTTCCTTTATCTCCCATTGGTCAAAATATGTGACCAATTTCCACAGCGATAAGAAGGCAAGGACGCTATGGTGATTCTTTTTTCCGATAAATTATATCCTACGTTTGCTCCTATTCTAAATTAAAGGGGAAGGGAGGGGTGGATGAAAAGTTGTCAATGAAAATCTCAAAGAGGACTAAATCATGCTCGAATCAAATGGGTGCCTTTACACCTGTGTTTGAAATTTTTAAGACATTCTGAACAAAATATAAGTTAAATGATTGAATCACTTGACCTGCACCTAAAGCTTTCTCTAGTGGCTAACTATTCGACGCTACAGTGATTGGTGAAGCCAAAAAATTAAAGATGTAAAAAGATCTTATAAGTTATTTCTGCAGCTAGGTCTTAATTCTTAAACTTGGCGCCTCCATCACCATGACATCAGCGTTTGGATTGGAATCATAAAGAGCCGTCAATTTATACTCTTTTTTTTTTGGAGGGGAGGTTAGAAATGAAATCGAATTATTGTAGACCATAGATTTTTTTTTTTTTTTCTGAAATGATAAGTGGTTTTATAGATTAACTAAATTTTACAGTTTCAAACAAAGACTCGAAATAGTACTATACAACCAGTGCACTATGTCATCGAGGAAACCAAAGTTACTCATCTTGAATGATGCCTAATGCATAAGCGCTAATCCTATTACTAATATGATTATAATCTTTACTAACTAAACAAAAGGAGCACGTGCGGAACAAAAACTTCAAACTATGGATATCCTCCAACAAGATAGCCAAGCGCATGTCCTGAGTTTTGCTGTGCAGAATGAGATTGAGAGCTTGTTTCTTATCCGTCTGGACCTCAATTTCACTCCAATTCTACAATGCAGCTTTGCTCATTAGAAGTTTGACAGCTGCTATTTCATCAATGACCTGGTTTCCTATGCTTCTCTCGTGCATTGCCTAGCCTCCTACAGGTTCTTGGTTGTCCAAAGACACTGTGACCCCTATTCCTATTTGAGGGTTGTTTTTCATCTTTTTTGTAGCAAGCCTCAATCTCAATGTGCCTTCATTCTCTTCATGTTGCTGTGGGAATGTTTCCTGAGTTCCTGTTTCTTCTGTGCTCATTCTTGATGCCTTTACTGTGGCTTCCTTGAATTCCAGCCATTCCTCCTGAGCTTTTTGTATTGTTCTCATTGAGGGGTTGTTTTGCATTGAATTCTTTCTCATTTCTACTTTTCCAGATCTGCCAAAGAATATTGGCAGTTAAGGAAAGGTGTTCATTGCCCTTTCTTCTTGATTTTGCTTCTGCAACTGTGGTCCACCATCTTCTGAAGCATCCCTACTGGTTCATAATTCCTTCCCATTGGATTGGGGCTATCCTCCATACTTCTTTGACATAGCCGCAGTTAAGCAATGCATGTTCTATTGTCTCATTTTCCTCTCCACACAATCTACATATTGGATCACCTTGCTTGATCCTGCTGGTGATGATAAGTCACTCAAATTGTGAACATATATGAAGTGTGTAACCATGTACATTGTCCTCCCTAACTTAACATTGTTCAGAATCATGCACAGGTACATAGCATGTTTTCATGACTCAATTTCTCACATTTAGATGAGGTGTATCACAAGTCACCAACAAATTTCTTGCTATTACAATTTGTTCCTTTATTGAGATTTTCCTTCCATCTTCCATTTAATGTTTTGGTCGCTCATTGAAATTTATGTTTACTATAATATTTTCCTTTAATTATACGAGTATAATGCATCTTTCTTTGACCTAAAAGTATGAAGGAGTTTTTTAACAATTGCATATGGGCACTTGTTAATGTACTTATTGTCCTTTTTGTTTTCCAAAAAACTGGAAATTTGAATCCCTAATATTTGAGATTTCAACCTTAACCATTTGACTAATGTCCCGTCGACTCAACTCGGTATCTCGTCATATTTGAATGTAACAAACTAAATAATCCCAAAGATCCGGTCCATTTACCTAATTTTAAAGACAATCTTAGTAGTCATTCTTGACATAGGATTGCATGTTTTCAGACCTTTCATCGTTTAAAGCCCCAATGCTCATGTCCTCTTTCTGTCCGTCGCGTCGCCCATGCTCGCGACTAAGAGACGACAAAGGTAAAGAAGACAAAATATGACTCAAGAAATGACAAGTTGTTTGCAGAAAAATTCTGTGATACGTAGAAAATAACAATCCAAACTAAGAGACGACAAAGGTGAGTAGACTGGGAAGCAGAAATTGGAAGATACTGGGTAAAAAACCTCATATTGAGTAATAAACAAATGTTTCACAAGAAGATCCACAAATCATAACCAAAACAGTTGAAGCAAATAAAGCTACAGACACTAAATACTTTTCAAATATTTACATGTCCAAGCCTCCAGGGCAAACAAGCCTTCATCCCTAGCTAGAATTATCAAAATATTTTCTGGAAAGACTGTTGCGAAATGATCCGCCTTTCAAATGCTCTTCGAGCGGCTTATCAGTGTACCTGATCAAGTTATAGACAAATGCTCCGAGTATGGTTCCGATAATTGGTCCAACTATATAAACCCATAAGCCTTTATAAACATGCTTAACTATGGCTGGACCAAAGCTCCTTGCTGGATTCATCGATGCACCCGAAACTGGCCTGCACTCGAAATATTATCCCGTTAAACTCGGTCGGTTGAACAGTTTTCTTCGTCAAGATAGAAAGATTTTTATACTGTTCAAATTCAAATAGTACAGATTACATACCCTGCCACGAACACGTTTAGCATGATGGTCATTCCCACTGTGATTCCTGCCAGGTTTCCTATCTACACATTTCAAAAATTCAAGAAAATTCACTCAGGAGTTTGCATGGACATATTGAGAGTATTGAACTTTTTCAAATGCTTTTCAAAACCATACTTAAGTCTTGCCTTCTTTTTTTTTCCCTTTTTTTTAGAATGAGATTTTGGATTCTGAGGTCATGTTTGAATTGTATTTTTCTGGATTTTTTGTAGAAAAATTACTGTAACAATTTGATATACGTGAAATTTGACGGTGATCGGAAAATGTGTTTACGAAAAACGTGGCAATTTTTCTTTTCCAACTCTTTTACAAGTTCTGAATGCGCCCCAAGTCCTCCGCCACGGAGTCAGTAGATGAGATCAATGTCTAATGCAAAACGAACCTCAGCCGCACGAAGAATATATATGTATGTATACATATGGGGAGGATTACCGCTCTACTGTCCGTGGCGACGCCGGAGATGACGAACATTAATAGGAAGGAGATGATAATTTCTATGGCAAGAGACTGTCCATCGGACCCAGCTGGTACGGTACCAAAATAATCGTCGGAAGCCACATCGAACATCAAAGCCAATGTGCAACTGGCCAGAGTCGAGCCCATCAATTGAGCCAGAATGTACAGAGGCACCTGAACATTGTGGATTATTCACGATCAAATAAATAAAAATGTTTAGAGGGAGTTGCGTTAAAAGTAGGTTTCAATCATATCCCACAAATTTGAAGATTGAATGGTCTAACCTCTCTCCAGGGAAACCCACGAAAGATGGCAAATGCAACTGTGACAGCAGGATTAAAATGAGCCCCCGAAACATGACCCACGGTGTAAACCATGACCATCACTATCAGTCCCCACGTCACGCAAACGCCTGGAAATGTGACGTTGCCATAGATTTTATTCACAACAACTGAGCCACACCCGGCAAAAATTACAAAGTAGGTCCCAACCACCTCTGCTACAATCTGAGAATTGCAAAAACCATCATGTAATTGTAAGCAGGGGAAGCGAACATTAATAATTTATTGATTTTACGATGTCACGCACAGGAAAATAAGGTACGTTAACAAATATAATTGACCTTTTGCAGGATGATAATGATATCTTTTGATGAGAAAAAGCCCTTGTGATAATCGTATTCCCGCTTGTTGCTTTCAACGCCTTCTTCCATTCTTGAGATTTCCTCCTCTTCAACTCTATCAATACCGGCAGCCATACGTGGGATTGTATGTATTGTTTATAACCTTGCAATCCGCGATCAGTACAAGTTGTAAAGGCCGGAAGAAATCATGCAGTTTTGAAGGATTATGTAACTGAGAATTTTGCGGGATAAATATAGATGTTTAGGCAAAAGATTTTCGTTTAAAATCCTATTCAAGATGAGGTGTACAGTTGGATAAGGTTTTTAGGAGATAAGTTGCATCTAATTATAACTAACAAATACCCGTTAAAAACTGAGTACTATACAGCTTATATTACTTACTATTTTTAAATAGAGAGGTGCTATTTACACTCCATTTTTTGCTATTTGCACTCTCACTATTTGTTTCATTACATACAAAACTATATAAATTAAAATGATACTAAGGGTGTGATCAACAAAAAGTGGGATTGCAAATAACAATTCCGTCTTACATAAGATTAGTTGTAGTTTGACCAAATCCTCCACAAATTAAGGCACTATTTTCCTTTCTTCAAAATAAAAATTAAAACAAGGTAAGGAAAAAAGCCCATGCTCTAACATATAAATGTTCGGATAAATGTCATTATACACTGATAACAATTTTTACAAAAATATAATGCTCATCTCTTTTGCTCAGTAGGAGTATACATTACATGTTTTTTTTTGCTAGCATAAGTGGGAGAATTCGAATCCAACCCATCCTTCTTCTTTACATACATGTCAATGGTGAAACTACATTGTTATTAGGTTTCCAAAACTGGGCTCTTAAGTAAATGAACTAGTTTCTTGAGCTACGTGTGTCCAAATTGTGTGAACTAATCGACTGATCCGTCTCCTAATAAGAGATGAAATGGTTGAGGTGATTACCTGACTGCAAACTTAGGAAATTAGGTAATTAGAGCTGATTGATTTTGAAATTGTTCTCATCGCTTTTCAGATTCCTGGTGTTTTGCTTTTCAACGCCTTCCATTTTTGAGATTATTAGTTCCCCTTAAAGTTTATCAAAACTGGTCGCCATACTTGAGACTGTTTATAGTCTTGCAACTCTTTGAAGAACTGGGTAACTTGATTTTGATTGATGGAGTTTCCATTTTGGATATAAATTGAGATGATTTAGGCAAAAAAAGGAAAAAAATCGTTTAAAATTTTAATGAAGGCAATATGTACAAGTGGATAAGTTCCATAACTAACACATATCTCTAAATTTTAAAAAAAAATTAATATTTCCTACACTGATAGTATATACACAATCAACGTTGGATGAATGACAATTATGCAAAATTTGAATTTAAAATTTAATTTTTACACATGTGTCATGGATTCAACAATGAGATATTTTTAAGGTTCAACATGTGTCATGGATATGCACTGTCAATGTATATAAGATTTATTCATTAAAAAAATGGATAAATTATCTTTTACGTTCGTGTAAATTAGTGTTTTATCATATAACTCGTCTATGGTTTAAAAATCTATATATAATCCCCTCATGATTTGGACTAATGTGTCACAGTTAGTTTTTTCAATTAAAACTGAGTCAAAAGTAAAAAGTCAAAGTTAAAATAATAAATTAACAAATTTACCTTTTCATTACTTTTTTTTTCCTCCAAACATAAAATAGAATAAATTAATATAAAAGTAGATAAATAAGAATTAGAAAATACCATTAAAGATTTGGTTTAAAAACCTATAATGATATTTGTAGTCAAAAAAGATTTGGGTATTTTTGTTTCTTATTTATTTGTTTTATATTTCCCCTCCATCCTTTTTGTTTCTTATTTATTTTTTTATTTCCCACCCATCTCTTTTGTACTTGGAGAAAATTAAGATTTTGTAGGCTAAATGTAGGTTTTCAAAATCATCTCATTCTCTTCCCTAGAGAGAGAGAGAGAGAGAAGGAAAAAAGAAAAAAAAAATGTAATGAAATGGTGAATTGTCAATTAGTAGTTTCATTTTGACTTTTTACCATTGATTGTTAGTTTTAATGGAAAAACTAATGGTGATATTTTAACTCAAATCATGAGAAGATTATATATGAATTTTTAAATCATAGAGGGTTTATGTGATAAAACATCAAACCATAGGAGAATAAAAAGTAATTCATCTTTTTTCAAAAAAAAAAAGAATCTCTATCTCATGTTAGTGACTCACCTCCTTTGATATTTTGGATAAGATTACTATGTTAAAGACTTTGCTCGCACGGCATAGCCTTTAGTTACTGCCTAAGAAGGTTGCTGCACCTAATATTCTTGTGCCTACCAGAATTTGTTGTTTGGTGCGATGCATCGTTGGCTATTGCCACACTATTAACGCAGCGCATGTACGGAGACTAGCCACCACGAGAGTTGCCTATAGCCATTATTGAATGTTTCTGGTTGTCATGGACCTTGATGAGACTGGCAGCAGGAAAATTAGAAAATGCAACTTTCGGAGCCCCGGAACATTTGAAGAATAGGTGCAAAGAAAACATTCACATATCATACAAGCTTTCAGTACACGTCGTATGGTACAACACTGGTAGCACACAATACCTACGGTACCAGCCTTTCAAAACTTTCCAGCTTATTGACACTTACCAGTCTCTTGGAACCCGTCAGAATGGGCCAGGACTGGCATGGTTTTATGATATTTTTACCTATCACACAAAAGTTTACATGGGAAACCTGTAATCATAAGAAAAAGTAAAAGCTGACCCATCAAAATTCACTTAGATGAAACCTCAGATGCACAACTAGCCACTGGCAAATCAGCTGGAGTGTATACCAGGGCCCTCTGCTGTAAATGTCTTAAACTCTGCTCCATACTAACTTGTACCATCTCGGCTAGCATCTGCTTGGCCTTCCCTGCTTGATCCTCGCCGTCTATCTGAGATATTAGGCTGGAAACTATGTTCTCTAGGGTGTCTGGTTGAAGCTCAGACCTTGGATAAGGAGAGTCTCTTAGCAACCGCAGAAGCAGTTGCGCTTTTGACTGGGACTTCAGTGATCCTTGAATGGTAAGCTCAAGAAGACCAGGTATTACGCCTTCCCGTAGAATTGGTTCCCTATACTTACTCCGATCACTCTGACACATTGTCAAAAGTGTTCCTACAGCATGTTCCCGGCTTTGAAGAGAACCACTTTCAAGCACTTCTACAACTGCAAGTACTCCACCTTCTTCAGATGTCAATGCAATTCTGCCCTCTTCAAAGCCTACCAAAGATTCCACGAGAGCTGTACATTTTTCAGCTGTTTTTGAAGACTTCTTAGAAGATTTTATCAAATCAACTATACAAGGAACTGGTTCTGTTTGAAGAATTAGGTTTAAATTGCCCGGATGAGTCGAGAGATTATAAAGAGCCATAACAGCATCAACCTTCATTTGCATGCATCCATCTCTTAGGATTTCCACAAGGAGAGGGATGGTCCCAGCAGCACTAATAATTGGCTTATTTACAGATGAAGCAGATAATGTTAGCAAGGCTGCAGTTGCATGCTCCTGCAATGGATGTTCCGACTGAAGAAAACCTACGATGGCCCCAAGAGCACCAGCATCAATTATACTTATCTTATTCCTGCCAAGAAATATAAAATAAATCAATTAGATGCTGTTAAAGAGAAGGAGCCAACAAGACACATATGCCCTGAAATTGGCACCCCTCAGTACATGGCTAAACTGACAGCAAATAAGCAACAGGCACGGCTGAATATATTCAGATGCAAACCGAGGTCATTTAATTAACTGGTGACTACACGACGTATTCGCTGATCAGCATTTCCTTGATTATCAAATTCCTACAAATCTAACAAGGTTCAAATAATCAAATTGCAAATGTGAAGCACGATATATCCTTTGTGCATTGCAGCCCATCAAAAACCCTGTAGAAGGAATGGGAAAACTTCTGTAAGTTGAAGTTTTGCATTCCCAGATGCACTCAATGTCACAAACAAGTATAGGTTCTTCCTCTGGTCACAGCAGTAACATCTTTCTGAGATACACGAAGGAAGCAAATTAACCACTTTGCGTGATATTGAGTTAGACCCAGAGCTGAAATGGCGTCAGCTAGACGCATCGTTACAATCAAGTTGACTGCCAGTTGATTAGTAATTAAAATAGGCTCCTAGAGCTATGAACTCTTTTTGCATATGCAAGCCAACTATAATCTGATCAAGTTAGGAAAAGCAGAGTGTAGCTCACCGATCGACACTACGCTAACATCCTTAAAAAAAAAAAAAAATCAAATAACAAAACTGTACTAGTCCCTCCCAATATCGAAGAAAGAGGTACCCTTTTGACTGACAAACTTAGATAAATAAATTGTTCATATTGCTTTGGAATAGAATTGGTAAAATTCTCAAAGGCCAAGCTTAAAAAGATGCAATCAATTTTTTATTAGAAGCACTAATCCAGTTTATCGACAAATTTCAGTTAATACGCTATTATTGCAGTCTGATGAAGACAATAAAGTTTCCCTTTCTGGCAGAGAATCAAGGCAAGGCAGAGGCTTCACAAACAAGGCAGTGGCCACGAGAAAAAAAGAGAAAAAGTAAAAAAGGAGATCATCAGAGAGGAAATAAAGTAAAGAGGGAGGAAACATTTAAAAAAGAAAGCGTAACATGTGAACAAAAAGAACAATCTCACCTTTAAACCTAACCAATCTGATATTTGAAGCATTAGATCCAAGTCATCCTTAGGAAAGCTTCTTGCTTGAATATGCTTTAACGATTTTTCAATTTTTTCCTTTTCCAAATTCGAGGCAATTTATCATAGTTGTCTCTACTAATCGTAGCTAAGTTTCCCTAATTTGGAATTTACATTAATTTTCAGAGCAAAAAAAACATCACAATATCCAGTTAAAAAAAAAAAAAAAAAGAGGACCATGAAAGCTGAGTATCATTACCTAAGGCAAGTTAAGCTTTATCACTACTGCTTCATACCTTTTTTTGGGCAACCAATCCAATACCAAGTGGAAAAAAAAATTAAAGCAAAAAAGAAGCACAGAAGATGAAAAAAGGTAGTAGCACACCAATATTTACTTTATGTAGATCACTGAATCCCATGGAAAAAAGCTAGAAAGCGACGGTAAAACAACCTTAAAAGGTAAAAATTTCAGAAAGCCCCCCAACAAATTCAGCTTATTAA